AAAGGGAACTACTTATGATAAGTCAATAGTATTTGGTATGCAGTTGTATTAGCATTGGCCATGTAACCTTCAGTCATGATTCATTGACTTTGAATATTTGCAAAACTTACATGTAAAAGTGTTGCTATTCTAATTTCAACATTTGCATTATCGAAATAACCAAAAAGCGAGACATATCTCTGTGATAACAGTTTATCTTAAACAATAAGCAATAGGTCAAGTATATTTGTTGTATTGAAGAATTGTAAGCTGTACATGTCTGCCTGGCATGGTTCATCTTACCTTAACCTCATTTTCATGGTTCATTGGTCAGTGTTTAGTTTTCTTGGTTAAGTCTTTCTTAGAAACTATAAGCAATAGCTAGGTCAGCTATATTTTGTGTATTGAATGATCATGATGATTGTAAGGTGTACATGTATTTCTTGTTTGGTTTATATGACAGTGACCTCATTTTCTTGGATCATGTTAAGTTTATGTGATAGTTGTAGTAAATTAAAGCTTTATATTTAGGACTATCAACATAATATCAATGATTAGTAAAGAAGGCGAGACATTTCAGCATGTGCACTCTTATGTTTATATTAGACCAGTTTATTGTTTACATAAATTAATAGGTTAAAATTAGAATAGTTTTCAAGGAACCAGTTTCATTAAATAGATATTGACATTGAAGATATGATTTTATATCGAAGTCTACCAAAACGCAAATGCACAGAAAAACTTTGGCAATCCAGTATATATGAATAATACAATTAGTGACAACTTATAAGCATATATATGATTTAATTGATGGTTTTCATTAGAAAAATTATCAAAATTTAATTTGTAAATAAATCATTATATTGTACGTGTTACATATATCATGTGTTCAAAGTGAGTGCTAAAATAGTTCATCACTGTATATGAATCTTAAAGACAATGCACTAGTGTAATAACTCCCAGTTTCATTCCAGGTACAAAATCACTAGTGTATAAATAAATAATTCCTGGTTCAAAAGTTTACTTTGTCCATTTTTTACATAAATCAGCTATATATGCAAGTTAAATAGTTAATTCAAATACCCCCCAAAAATACCAAGCCCCATTTTTTATACATTTCCCCTTCAAAAAACTCTCTATAGAATCTTATCAAGAGTGGTGGATATTTTACACTGGACCCGGATAAAAAACCCTAGTGAATTTTTGTTGCTGGATAATAAACACTAGGGATTTTCATCCTACAGATAAAGTACACTGGCGGAATCAAACCACTGTTACAACTGTAGGTTTTACTTTTAACCACCCCTTGGTTTTTTTTGTGTGTTGCTTGAGTGTTTTGTGTGTGGTTATAAATACAATTTGAAAATATGGGGAAAAAATTCAAAAAGTTGCCATATAATAATAATAGTATAGGTAATATAATAATTACATATTGTGTGAAAAGATTGATTGCTAATGGTTTGTTTATATTTTCTTTGTTGAAGCTCAGTGCATAGACTGCAATTTTTGGCAATTCTCAACAAGGAAAGAAAACTTGAAACGTCCAGCAACCAAGATACAGATATTAGCAGTTATTGAATATGTAAAACTTTTATTTTAGCGTATTCAACATCACCTGATTTTGTACTTGTATTAATGTTTTCTGGCTTTCTAATGAACATTGAAAATTTATACTACTCTTATTGGAGACTCAGTTGCATATTCCTTATGTCGTAACTACAACGCCCTTCCCTTTTCACGAATGTGACTTACCGAATTAGACTATTTACCGGATTTGTAATAACATAAGCAACACGACGGGTGCCACATGTGGAGCAGGATCTGCTTACCCTTCCCGAGCACCTGAGATCACCCCCAGTTTTTGGTGGAGTTTGTGTTGCTTAGTCTTTAGTTTTCTATGTTGTGTCATCTGTACTATTATTTGTCTGTTTGTCTTTTTATTTTTGGCCATGGCGTTGCCAGTTTGTTTTCGATCTATGAGTTTGACTGTCACTCTGGTATCTTTCGTCCCTCTTTTGCAGCATACATTAAATTTAAATTCAAAAGAACACACATTCTAAAATTGAGAATCATTTGAGAATTGAAATAGGGAATGTGTCAAAGAGACAACAACCCCACCAAAGAGCAGAAATAATCCAAAGGCTACAAATAGGTCTTCATCTCTAGCCAATGTAGAATAAACAAACACACACCACTACGCACAAGTCCTAGTCACATGTCAGAATAGGTACATTGTCAATGAAGAAACAAAAATTTACAAAGTTCTACTATCAGTTACTGACAATTTTTTGCCAGTTCCAGTGAGTGAGACTTGGAACTAAAATGATTGACAGATTATGTCTTCAATCATCATATGAAAATCAAGCACAATCCCTTGTGTTTAGGGTGTAGTATCATACCATCGTTAAATATATGAGAAGAACATAAAATTGAGAATGGAAATGGGGAATATGTCAAAGAGACAACAGCCGAAGGCCACCAATGGGTCTTCAATGCAGCGAGAAAATCCTGTATCTTGCCAATAACTAGTTTTAGAATGAGTGTGTTTACATCTGATTTAACGACCCTATGAATGAATCAATATTAATTCCAAAATATGCCATCTTTAATTACCCAAAAACAGTATCGTTACTATATATCCCTTCTTAATAACTCAGATTAAACTTTTATAAACTGCATGAGGTTTACTGAGGTGACTGACAACATATTGTTGTGCTAACATATTGTTGTGCTTTGTATAGAATATTACCATAAAATATTTGATGTGAAATTTAATTGCACATCAAAGTGAAATACCTGACGTATAAGATGTCTACATGTTGATCTTTATTTACATGTATGAATGATGTCCTTGTACCGATTATAATATTTTGTAAATGTTTTGACTAGTTTGTGATATCAAAAACTTTGATGTAATAATTTTCAGTAAAACAAAGATATCTTCCATTAAAATCAAATATGTTGTTTATAATACATACACGAGCGAATCGAACAAGTTCAGATATGTATAAACGTTACTCCATAAGATGGAGCCAATTGAATGTCAATAAATGTTTCATATAATTAGTTCTTGAATAAATTCCAGTAGTATTGCTTTTTTCAAAGATAATATTGTAATGATGTCATTTTTTTTTGTGGGGAAAAAATCCCTCTAAACTATTCTAAGTTAGCTAATTATTCACATACATGAATAAATCCTTATTTTCAGGTACAGATGCCCTTAAAGTTTTTGATGAAGTAAAGCGCAAGATACTATCCCATCCAGCAGTGATACGGTATGACCAATTCCCGGACAATATGACAAAGAATAACAATTGGACACCAACAGTTCACATATGAAAAGATGTTTTTAGGGTAAACCACATTGCACAGAAATTATTCAAATAATTTGAAATAAAAATAAGCAAATCTTTAAAGAAAATATTGTCGGTCTTCAAATGACACAGAAATTAACAACTATAGGTCAGCGTACCCCTTCAACAAAGAGCAAAACCAACACCACATACATGACATAGTCACCTATAAAAAGCCCCAAAATAAAAAATGTAAAACAATTCAAACGAGAAAACTAATGGCCTAATTTATGTAAAAAATAATATGTATTACTCAGCAACAAACAACAACTACTGAATTACACGTTCCTGACATGGGACAGGCACATACAAATGTGCAGGGTTAAACTAGTTTGAAGACGCCAACCCTTCTCCTAACCAGGAACAGTGGTGTAACAGTACATCATAACAACAAACTATAAAAATCAGTTGAAAAATGCTTAACTCATCTCATGGATATACGAATAGAAATTAATACATGTAACAAAAACACAAATTGGACATGGATGAGTACTTGTACATCCCAACAACAACAACTAGAAAACTAACGGCCTAAAGTAATTAATGAACGAAAAACAAATATGTCAGAGTTTTGTGCCGACCACCTTTCCATTTTAGGAGGTGGTCGGCTTTTTTTTCAAATTCTGGATTTTTTTCAGTTCAGCACCGTAAAAATTTAAGTACTAATCGCGCCTCGCTGATTTGTTTTCATAGACAATAATGGCCGATCGTCAAATTAAATGGGAATACAATACTAATCCTTCATTTTGTTACCCCCACCAACAGTAAAAAAACCTGGTTGGAAATGTTTTAAAAAAAAACAACACCCGGTTGCAAGTGTTTTTTTTAAAACACCCACCTTACCTTAGTGAAAAAAGGAGAACACTGTATGTTACACAGCAACAAGTGACAATTAATTAACCACTGTCAATAACAGGATCCTGACTTGGACAGGCTTAACAGGACAGGAATCTGATGTTCAGTAGTTGTCGTTTGTTGATGTGGTTCATAAGTGTTTCTCGTTTTCTCGTTTTTTATATAGATGGTTTTACACTAGTAATTTTTTGGGGCCCTTTATAGCTTACTGTTCGGTGTGAGCCAAGGCTCCGTGTTGAAGACCGTACTGTGACCTATAATGGTTTACTTTTATAAATTTTTACTTGGTTGGAGAGTTGTCTCATTGGCACTCATACCACATCTTCTTATATCTATTAACATACACTAAGTATAGATCTGAGAGTACTCGCAGTTACTGACAGCTAGTTCATGTAGTTCAAAGCCAATAAGAACTAATAATAAAGTCATGAATCTAAGACTAATTAAATTATCAATTAATACACATGCAACATCCAATGGATTTAGTGAAAAGGCATCATAAACAGTCCGAGAAAAACATGACCTTGTGCAATGCCAAGATACAGGTATTGACAGATTGTAGACCCATGAATGTGCATAATGTATATAACTATGATATTTAGTTTGATTTTAATTTACTGATAGCATAATCAATATTAATACCAATAAAAGCAATATTCAAAGATCTAATTACATTGTTGACTTTGGTAACCTTTTCGAATAAGTTTATTTAAAGGATCTATAAGTTTACCTGGATCGTTTCTAAGTTTCTTGGCTAGGAAAACAATTTAACATATGATCAACATATACATTTGTACTCATATTTGTTCTTTTTTTCTTTTGAGGCAGACTTCATGTATGTACAGGAGCTTCTAAGGAGGAATTGAAAAGAAGATTGCATTCGATCGATCTCCTTAACTTGCTATAAAGATGATTTCCTTTTATTGAATAATTCAAAGTATGGTGACTTTGTTGAACGCATGTATCCCATTGAACTTGAAATAAAGGATACAACAGATACAGGTAAATCTGCCTCATATCTTAACTGACATCTAGAAATAGACAATGAGGGTCGGTAAAGAACAAAACTTTTAAGACTAAAGAGATGATTTCATCTTACTAATGATGAACTTTATATTTCTGCAGTTACCATGATCCCAATATGGCGGAGGTAGAAATAAGTAAAATCGATTTCTGCTAATTTTCCGTTTAAATGTGTTTTTTTCATGAACTACTCAGCCGCCAGGTTGATCTGTAACATTTGTTGTGTATGGGTGTTATAAATATCATGTATGGCCTCGTTACCGAAATAATATCCATCAAATATTTTAGGAGGATAATCGTAACTTAAATAAAAAGATAATGGCAACTTGTGGACAAATCACTTGAAAGATAATTGTAACTGCAGAATATTTCAATGATAATAGCTGCTGATTTTGATTGAAAAAAAAGAAAGATCACTGGTGTTAAACTGATCATGGTAACTGCAGTTACCACTATCCCAATATGGCTGATGTAGAAATAAGTAAAGTCGATTTCTATGTAAACGTGTTGTTTTCGAGAATTAGTCTGCTGCTAGCTAGGTTGATCTGTTGATGGGGACAGCGACTATATCTAAATGATGCTTGAAAGTTTGATAGTTTTACCAGAAATAGTGAATACATAGTTATCTCAAACTAATTTACATTTTGCTTTGTAGATATATATTCTATATATTTCACAAAAGTTTAAATTAAGGGTAAATATTGATTGGTATTTAGTATACTTAAAGAGTTAAAACATGTACATGTATTCATTAATTTAAATGATTTTAAAGTTTTATTAGATAAAAAAAATCAATCAATCAATAACCGTTTTAGCGTGCCCTTAAGCTTAGTACTGGCAACTAGTGGCTTGTGATACTTGCAGTTCACTTACAGATATATCAACCTAGTAGTAGTTATAAGATTTTAAATAGTACCAATGATCTGGCGCTGCAATCAAAACCTAATATGCTACAAATGCCAATTGCCATATTGATCAAACTATCTTCTGTTTTTCTGGACAACTTGATATATCCTCTCTCTGAAACACAATTTGTTTTGACCTGCATCTCATTTAAGAATATAACTATGATTTCCCATTTTGTGTTATGGCTTGATGGACAGACCGTATATAAAAAAGCTGTGATTAAAATAACTTGTCAATATTTTATGCTCAACCTATATATACCCATCACAATTTTCACAATTATAAATTAAAAAATAAACATCACAAAAAATATTCATTTAAATGTAACGTCCTATGCATACCAGTTATTTTTTTTTAAATGTGAACTGTAGAAGGTCATTATTTGTATTGATATGCCAGGAATAGATTGTCATTATTCACAGTTATACTGTGGAACATGCTTTTTCCCCAACCTGTCAAAATTATATTAAAAAATGTCTACTTCTTTCAGGTGAATCCTTGCTGGGTCATTGAAAAACCTACTGGAAGTTCTTCTGATACTGGAAATTGAAAACAAATGGTCAGTATAATTACATTACCAGCATTGTATAAAATTCCTGTGGTAAAGAGGATTGCTTCAGTAAATGTCAAGCATTAATACTTCATTTCCACTTCATATTGACATTGTTGATGTCGGTGAATAAGATGATAATATATGATGTTTTACAGTATTACAAAGGAAAATAATAGATTTGTAAATTACCCAAGTTTATTCTGTTTATTTATATCTTAATTTTCTCTTTCCTTTACAAATGTTGTTTTATCTTAATTAAGTGAGTGTTGAATGTAAAAAGATGGAGATGTGGTATGATCATACTTGCCAACCTCTGACAATGAGAAATCATGTCATGGCATGACATGACATGTCAAAAAGCGTGTGAAAACGCGTGACGTAGATGCGAACTTTTTAATGTGAACAATGTTCATAATTTCACATTATACAAATTTGTTATTAAATATAAGAAACAATATTCAACTGTAAACTTTTATTGTATTCAACAGTGGTCTGTTTTGCTGCTTTTAAAGCAACACCTCTAGGCACATATTCAAAACAACTGCCAGTTTGGTTACATTTACTTAATAACAAGGCACACAATATATCATTGTCAAGTTCTGATCAGAATTCAGTGTGAATTTCTTTATAATTGAAAATGCTCTCTCACAGTCAGAATTGATATTTGGCTGAACTAAAATAGCTTTATCAAGCTTTGAAAGAGTGTCATAACGTTTTTTTGCCATCTAAAATGTCATCTTTAATCTCTGCCATTGCTCCCAACAAACTATATATGTTGCTATTGCCTGGTCAAACTGGGTAGTTTATCAGAAGACAGCTGGTACTATGAGAACTGATCCAACAGTTCCGTGATATTTCCATCCCCTATGGCCTGTGGAAATCTGTAGGCTAGATTTGAAACTGAAACTGAAAAAATATTTTATAATTTGATATGTTAAATGATTAATCAAATAGCTACATTGTAGTTCCCCTCTCACATGTATTGTTATGATTGCAACATAGGGTCACAATACGTTACTCGTCCCTCGATCATTTAAACTTGAACTGTTTTATTTATAAATCTTGAATCTTGGACTTGGTACGTACACATCGTTTTCGCTTAGCAATCGGCTCTCTAGACGACGGTACAGGCCCTGAAAGCGACCTCTTTCTGAGGACATTTCCCCTAAGTGAATTTGAAAGAAAGATTGTCACGAAATCGAAAAATCTAATCACAAACTACTTACCTTTAAGAGCCTTTGCTGTTCGTCCATCATGATAGAAAAAAAAACAATGGCGTCTAAACAATTACTACGGAATTTTCGGTATTTATCGTGCATTAATGAAAAAACCCGAGAATCACGATATCACTAACGACCAAAAAATCAAAACAACAAAAAAGCGTGTAATTGCGTGTAAAGTAGTGAAAAGCGTGTACACGCCATGTGACAAAATCCTCGCGTGTAAACCGTTGAAAAAGCGTGTATTACACGCGAATATCATGTCACTTGGCAACTATGGGTATGATTACCAATATGACAGCTATCCACAAATGATGTGGATATAAGGGACAATACATAAAGCCTTCAACAATGAGTATTAAAGATCTGAACATGACAAAATAAAAAGAATAACGACCAGATTTATGACAAAATAAAATGAAAAACAATTAATATGGAAACTTACCACTGAATTTCAGGCTCCTGGTTCCAGATTTTGGACAAGCACATACAGATTTTAATTTGGTTTAACTTGTGAGCACTAAACCAAGGAATATTAACAATGTGTAACAAAAAATCTCTCCTTTGGCTTACCTTCTATTTAGTTCTTGCATAGAGTTTTCCATTTATCAGGAAACTGACTTATTTAATTCAAGAAATCCACAATTATTTCTTTTTATTTTTCTCTCTATATTGCATTTTTTCCTTAATATATCAAAAGCTATAATAAGAGAACGATACCAAATGAACATTCAAAAGACCAACAGACAACCAATAGTGCACAAAACATATAACACTAAAGACTGAGCAACACGGACCCCACCAAAAACTGGGAGTGTTCTCAGGTGATCTGGAAGGGTAGGCAGATCCTGCTCCACATATGACAATTGTATAGATGTAGAGATAATTTAACTTGGTTTAACTTGTGAGCACTTAAATATCAAAAATGGTCTAGTTTCTGGTGTCAAAATTTATGAAACCTGAATCTGTATTAAATGTTTCTCTTTTGTTTGGGACAGAATTAAGTATTTGTTTATGTGCATCACTAAAATATGCGAGACAGGCACTACACCTGACAACCTCTATGTTTTTTTATATGACTGCAAAAAAATTTTTTGGTTCGTATAATGCTATGATGCTGTCGTTGTCATCGTTGTCCGATGACACATTTGGTTTCTGGACAATAAATTTAGTTAAAGTCAATTGATCTCTATGAAATTTTACAAGAAGGTTCAATACCACAAAAGGAAGAATGGGATTGATTTTTGGGGTTATGGTACCAACAGTTTAGGATTTAGGGGCCAAAAACAAGCATTTTTTTAGTTTCTGGACAATAACTTGTGTGTAAGTGTATGTGTAGGATTAAATAGTGTCCCCCATGAAATTATGTCCCATGGACAAAATTTCACGGATATGACCTGTGAAATTTTGTCCAGGACAGAATTTTATTATAAAATATTGTCCACTTCTGTGTTAAAGTGTCCCTTGAAAAGATATTCTATTTTAACCTTTGTTGGATATTTTTTCATAGTGAAATCATGTCCAAATTGCATAAAAGTCTTGTCTAATACCAAACAATTTAATTTACAATAAATAATAAGACTAAATCGACATTTGTTTTTAAATATACAGTATTTAACAAGATCAATAATATCATGAATAATATTCATAAATACTCGATTGTCGTTTCTTCTTGCGCATACGTTTGGGTCTTGGAGGCATGTATATAAAACATTTCATTGTTTTTAATTTCAAATTGCTTGGGCTTGGCCTTCCTTCTAAATGATCTTCTTTCATTATTATTAAACTCTGGAGGGTATTGACCACCAAACAAAAAGTCATATAGCTGTTTATATTCACCACTTTCCATATTTGTTCACATCTGTGTTGTCTTGATTTAAATTTCAATTATGATTTAACTAATTGATTAAAACATTTCAATGATTGCTAAATTATGTCCCTAATCTTTAGGGACAGAAAAAAACAGCTACACTATGAAAAATTGTCCCATGTGACATATTTTTATAAAACATCTATGAAATTATGTCCAAGTACTAGGGACAATTTTTCACTAAGGGAGACACTATTTTATAGTTTACAAATGTGATATTCTGTCACGTGAACGAAATTTCACAGATGAACTGTGAAATATAGTTCAAGAAGACACAATTTCATGGGGTTCAAAATTTTTTTTAAGGGGTTCATATTTTTTTTTCAAACTTTTTTTAATTTCAAATTTTTTGTAAAACTTTTAAGAAGAAATCTTTAAATGTGCAGTATTGCGCAATTGATTTTTGTCGAGCCTGCGACTTTTGTCGCAGAAAGCTCGACATAGGGATAGCGATCCGGCGGCGGCGTTAGCTAACTTCTTAAAAGCTTTATATTTTAGAAGATGGAAGACCTGGATGCTTCATACTTTGTATATGGATGCCTCATGTTACGAAGTTTCCGTCAGTCACATGTCCAATGTCCTTGACCTCATTTTCATGGTTCAGTGACTACTTGAAAAAAAAGTTCAGATTTTTTGTAATGTTAAATTCTCTCTTATTATAGGATAACTATATTTGGTATGTGCGTACCTTGCAAGGTCCTCGTGCCCGTCAGACAGTTTTCACTTGACCTCGACCTCATTTCATGGATCAGTGAACAAGGTTAAGTTTTCGTGGTCAAGTCCATATCTCAGATACTATAAGCAATAGGTCTAGTATATTCGGTGTATGGAAGGACTGTAAGGTGTACATGTCCAACTGGCAGGTGTCATCTGACCTTGACCTCATTTTCATGGTTCAGTGGTTATAGTTAAGTTTTTGTGTTTTGGTCTGTTTTTCTTATACTGTATGCAATAGGTCTACTATATTTGGTGTATGGAATGATTGTAAGGTGTACGTGTCTAGCTGGCAGGTGTCATCTGACCTTGACCTCATTTTCATGGTTCAGTGGTCAAAGTTAAGTTTTTGAGTTTTGGTCTTTCTTTCTAATACTGCATGCAATAGGTCAGCTATATTTGGTGTATGGAATGATTGTAAGGTGTACATGTCTAGCTGGCAGGTGTCATCTTACCTTGACCTCATTTTCATGGTTCAGTGGTCAAAGTTAAGTTTTTGAGTTTTGGTCTTTTTTTCTAATACTATATGCAATAGTTCAACTGTATTTGGTGTATGGAAATATTTTATGATCTATATGTCAGTCACGCAGGTTTTATTTGACCTTGACCTCATTTTCAAGGTTCATTGCTCAGTGTTAAGTTTTTGTGTTTTCGTCTGTTTTTCTTAAACTATAAGCAATAGGTCAACTATATTTGTTGTATGGAAGAATTGTTAGCTGTACATGCCTGCCTAGCATGGTTCATCTGACCTTGACCTCATTTTCATGGTTCATTGGTCAATGTTTAGTTTACTTGGTTAATGTTAAGTTTATGTGACAGTTGTAATAAAGCTTTATATTTAGGACTATCAACATAATATCAATGATTAGTAAAGAAGGCGAGACATTTCAGCGTGTGCACTCTTGTTAAGATCTTTGACAACATTTGTTTCGTGTCAGAAACCTATATTATGTCAAAAATTTGATCAGAATCCAAATTCGGACAGTATCAAGCTTGAATATTGTGTCCAAATTTGCCCCAACTGTTCAGGGTTCTACCTCTGCAGTCGTATCAGGCTGCGCTCAGCGAAGCATTTTATTAGTTTCTTTGTTGATTTCATAGGGATAGGGAAATCATGAATTTTATAAATATCAAACAAAGTAAATATATCTTGTGGTCTAGTGTGTTTTAGTTGCATTGCATATCATATCTGTTATCCCTTGTAAAAGAAACTTTTCTTACGTTAGACTATATTTTTTTTCACAAAATAAAACAAATTATTTTTTCATATTACAACAAGGACAGCATTGTTTTTTACCACCACCACCCACAGAAATAAAAATAAATTAGAACAACACTCCCTTTGCATTTTGGTATTTGAATATTTCAAATACAACCACCCACATAAAATTTTTAAAAAAAACCTTCCGTGGGAGGACATAATATTTTCTGGAACAGCCCTTATATGTTTTTTCGGGGGACATAGTATTTTCTGGAACAGCCCTTATATGTTTTAGAATAAAAAAAAATAGATTTCAAATTTTATCTATTTCAAGTTGATAAACACAAAAAAACCTGTGATAAATTGTCTATATTACTCCAACCTAGCTAGTTATCAGATGTGGTATTAAGTTTGCCAATGAGACAACTCTCCACCAGAGAACTAATGATGTAGATGTTAATGATAAACAACACATTGAAATGCCTACCTGCTCATTCTGGATAATTATGACATCAAATTTTTCATTATCGAAACAAAATACATTTTACTATCTGTAGCTAACATTATTTTTATACTCTTCATAGATTAGTGTTTGCAAATTAGACTATCTCTTGGAGATGGATTCTATAATCAGAGGGGAGATGTGAAAAAACTCTTTATTAAAGTAGGTTGATAATTCAAATTGAAAAATTCAATTTTAGCACTAACAGGTGGTTTTGCATTTCATTTATTAAAAGTATTATAATTAATAGCCATGAAACAATGATTTTATTTTCAGGTCATTTTTGGAAGAAAATTGATAGAGGAAGGATACAGATATACAAGAATTTCATATTTGAAATGCTTTTAATATTTCTTTTGTATATGACCACCAAATTTTGGCAGTCAAATAAGGCCAATTGAAATTAATTGATAGATTTTTATCCCGCCCAACTCTCTGAAATCGTCCCGCCCCGATTTTTTTAATTTTTAAAAATATACGATTTCCGGATTTTGTTCATTTCTGTTACCGGTAACCGCCGATAATTTCGTTTCATTTAAACTTCCTTTTTCAAATTTCGGTTTTCGTATTTCTTCGAGTAATATAGGTCGACATATTCTTCTGCTCAATGATGACAACATTATCTTTTGAGAATATAGATTGATTACTAGAAGGACATAAATTATTCGGGTTACAAGTAATTGGCGGTGTCCAATAACCGTAATCGCGGTATGTCACAAATTTCAGTGAATATAAAACCGTGAATTATTTTATTTATACAATGACATTGTGTAAGGAAATTTAGACTGAATGATATCCAAAGCGCAAAAATCATGGAACACATTGATACAAAATCATGACTGGAATAAAGAAATTAACAGAAGCACGAACCGTGCAATTTATGACTGTATATTAAGTACAAAGAGTTGGCCAACGTACAAAATGTATTATAGCTGCCATGGCTTAGATTTACCTCCAAGGCTGTCGTTTCAGCCCTTCAATAGAGTTGTAAAACAACTTTTTCTTTTTGGTTCAGTTCGTGTTTTACATTGTAATTATATTTGCACCTTGCATAAGAATCTTAAAAGCATGAACCCTAGTATTTTCAACACAGTTTGAGTTTTCATTTCACTCTGTACTCATAATATTTGTGTTGCATACCAATGCATATGCTTCATTTTATGGGCACTATAAATCATAACTTAGAAAGCAAAAAATGATCTATGTAATCTAAAAGAGAACATTTTTCCACGTTTTTGCTATTTACTGAAAATCGGTTTCTAAAGCGGCAATTACATGTAGAACAATGGTTGCCAATCGGAAATATTGATTTAAGAATTTTTTTAAAAATGTAGAATTCCTTATATAAACATGATGTAAGCTTATTATTACCCTTGTACATTGTGTAAATGAACAACACGTCTCAAAATGGTTTAGGAGGAAATTAAAAATTAAAAAAATAAAATCCGTCCACCCGCCCCATTTATTTCAAAAATCTGGATGAAAATCTACAAATTAATTTTAGTTGGCCTAATGGTATCATTGTTATCTTTGCCATATAAACAAATATACCTGGTAAAATTTGTTCATTAGAGGAAACTTTAATTACAAATATCTATTCACATTAGATGATTTTTTTACCAATTTTCTAATTTTAAAAATAAATCAATTGTTTTTATTCTGTAGGATTCAAAATGTTTTGCCATTTATGATAATCTATTTATTTTGATTTGTCTGAAGTACATTTCACGAAAATTTCAAATTCAAAATAAGGCACCTACAGTGCATACTCCATCACAAATTGAGGTAATGTTAGTATTGATTCTGTGGTAAATTTTTTGCATTCATTATTTTAATGTGGTCAACATATTGCTAGGTCATCATATTAGTGTGTCCAGCATATGATGGATTCATGAACAGTATTCAGTGCAAATTAGCATAAATATTTCAGAGTTGTTGTCAATTTATGCTCTACATAATTTTTTATTTTGGTTATTATTATTATTATCCACAGTTGTTGTGCATCATAATTTTTAGCTCACCTGGCCCAAAGGGCCAAGTGAGCTTTTCTCATCACTTGGCGTCCGTCGTCGTTAACTTTTACAAAAATCTTCTCAAAACCTACTAAGCTTGACCAAACTTGGCCACAATCATCATTGGGGTATCTAGTTTAAAAATGTGTCCGGTGACTCGGCCAACCAACCAAGATGGCCGCCATGGCTAAAAATAGAACATAGGGGTAAAATGTAGATTTTGGCTTATATCTCTGAAACCAAAGCATTTAGAGCAAATCTGACATAGTTAAATTGTTTATCAGGTCAAGATCTATCTGCCCTGAAATTTTCAGATGTATCCAACAACCCGTTGTTGGGTTGCTGCCCCTGAATTGGTAATTTTAAGGAAATTTTGCCGTTTTTGGTTATTATCTTGAATATTGTTATAGATAGAGATAAACTGTAAACAGCAATAATGTTCAGCAAAGTAAGATCTACAAATAAGTCAACTTGACCAAAATGGTCAGTTGACCCCTTAAGGAGTTATTGCCCTTTATAGTCAATTTTTAACCATTTTTCGTAAATTTTTGTAATCTTTTACAAAAATCTTCTCCTCTAAAACTACTAAGACAAATTTAACCAAACTTGTCCACAATCATCATTAGGGTATCTAGTTTAAAAAATGTGTCCGATGACCCCGCCCGCGAACCAAGATGGCCGACATGGTTAAAAAATAGTACATAGGGTAAAATGCAGTTTTTGGCTCATATCTCTGAAACCAAAGCTTTAGAGCAAATCTGATGAGGATAAAATTTTTCATTAGGTCAAGATCTAGCTGCCCTGAAATTTTCAGACCAATCAGGCAACACGTTGTTGGGTTGCTGCCCCTGAATTGGTAATTTTAAGAAAATTTTGCAGCTTTTGGTTATTATCTTGAATATTATTATAGATAGAGATAAACTGTAAACAGCAATAATGTACAGCAAAGTTAGTTCTACAAATAAGTCAACATGACCAAAATTGTCAATTGACCCCTTAAGGAGTTATTGCCCTTTATAGTCAATTTTTTACAATTTTCATAAATTTTGTAAATTTTTGTAAATTTTTACAAAATATTTTCCACTGTAACTACCGGGCCAAGTTCATTATAGATAGATAATAGTAAGGAGCAAGAATGTTCAGTAAAGTAAGATCTACAAACACATCACTATCACCAAAACACAATTTTGTCATGAATCCATCTGTGTCCTTTGTTTAATATATACATAGACCAAGGTGAGCGACACAGGCTCTTTAGAGCCTCTAGTTTAGAAATGTCTTCTTATAACAGGATTTTACCAAAAACTTATATATAGATGTATTAAGAAAAATTTATTAACTTGTATCCATGGGACAGATTTCGTTTTAGTCCATTTTTGTATAAATGTTGCACCTTTATTTTATCTTTTTCTAGATTTTATATGTGGCTCCACTCCTCACCCATTGACATGTTGGTTAAAAAGTAAAGAACACTATATATATATATATGAATATTTCAGCAAATTATGGTGGCAAATCTGTTAATTTTTTTAGAATAGTCATAAATTTTGCCAAATTATGCAAAAAATATTGTTTTAACAAAAACCCACATACATTTTAATGGAATAGCCCTCACAAACTTTCATTGTTTATTAGCATAGATGCAATAAGAACATTAACTAGTTGATTTATAAATTGTAATGTTTTTGACTCATGTTGACTGAAATGACATTGTATGAAATAAAGTTTGTGCCAAAAAACATTATTACTAGTTTGAACCCAGTATTATATGCAAGTTATTAGTACCTAAGATACTGACGAAGTCAAAGGGAACTATAGGATTGCACGCCGTTTGTCTGACTATCAGATCAAGTTAACAGTTTTCCACACTTTTTCGTCAGGCTTGAAGATATTTATTTGATATTTCTTGTATAGTTCTGATTGAATGCATTTGTTTTATTTTGTCTCCCCTGTGATGAAACACTATATTTTGGTGTATCGAATGATTGTAAGGTGTATAAGTCAATCTGACAGCTACATGAACTGTACCACATTTTTGTCGACCCTTCGACTTTTGTCGAAAAAGCAAGACATAGCGATCCTACATTCCGTCGGCGGCGTCCAGAAATATTCACTCTGTGGTTAAAGTTTTTGAAATTTTAATAACTTTCTTAAACTATCCTGGATTTCTACCAAACTTGGACAGAAGCTTGTTTATGATCATAAGATAGTATCCAGAAGTAAATTTAAAAAAAAATATCCTGTTTTTCCGTATTTTACTTATAAATGGACTTAGTTTTTCTGCCAGGAAACGTTACATTCACTCTGTGTTTAAAGTTTTTAAAATTTTAATTACTTTCTTAAACTATCCTGGATTTGTACCAAACATGGACAGAAGTTTGTTTATGATCAAAAGCTAGTATCTAGAAGGAAATTTTTATTAAAATTTTGTACTTGTTTATCCATATTTTACTTATAAATGGACTTAGTTTTTCTTCCAGTTAACATTAGATACAGTCTGCAGTTAAATTTTTTAAAACATTTATTAGATTCATAAACTATCCTGGATTTTTACCAAACTTGGACAGAAGCTTCTTACAATAAAAAAAATTGTATCGAGAGGAATATTTTTATTAAATTTTTTCCTCATCTCATTTTTGTTGAGCCTGCGATTAACAGCAAAAGTAGGCGAGACACTGGGTTCCGCGGAACCCCTACAAATTTTTATGGTTCATTGGTTAATGTTAAATTCTCACAGTTTGGTCTGTTTCTTAGATACTGTAAGCAGTAAGTCAACAGTATATGATGTATGGAATGATTGCAAGCTGTACATTATATGGTCTGATATTGAACTCATTTTTATGGTTCATTGGTCAATGATCAATTTTCATACTTGCAGGTACTTTAGTTTCTCAGATGTTATCAACTATCAGATTTAGTGTGTGGTACGATTGTTTGGTGTATATGACCTTGATCCAACAGAGATCGTGGATTTAAGCAATTAAAGGTTATCTGGCTTTCAACAATGAACAATCGAATAACTCCGTCTCATAGGTTTATAAACGTTGTATGGGGTCTTTTAACTAACTCCGACTCATTTAGGTGCATGAAGGTTGTATAGAGTATACTTATCGAAAAACTGTTTCATTGATATGTGAACGTTATATAGGTTCTATGCTTATCTGATAGCTCGAATATCTCTGTTTCATAGGTGTATGAACGTTGTATAGGGTTTATACACCTCGAATAACTGTGTCTCATTGGTATATGAACGTTATATAGGGTTTATACCAATTGCATAACTGTGTCTTCTTGGTATATGAACGTTCTATAGGGTTAATACCCATCGAATAACTTTGTCATGGTATATGAACGTTCTATAGGGTTTATACCAATTGAATAACTCTGTCTTATTGGTGTATGAACGTTGTATAGGGTTAATACCCATCGAACAACTTTGTCATGGTATATGAACGTTCTATAGGGTTTATACCAATTGAATAACTCTGTCTTATTGGTGTATGAACGTTGTATAGGGTATATGCCCATTAAATAACTGTCTCATTGGTATATGCCCGTTCTATAGGGTTTATACCAACTGAAGAACTGTGTATCATTGGTGTTTGATCGTTTAATAGGGTTTATTCCAATCGAATAACTTTGTCTCATTGGTGTATGAACGCCATATAGGGTATATACCCATCGAATACTAGTAACTCTTTCTCATTGGTGTGTGAACGTTGTATAGGGTTTATACCCGTTGAATAACTCTGTCTCACTGGTATATGAACGTTAAATAGGGTTTATACCCTTCGAATAACTCTGTCTCATTGGTGTATAAACGTTGTATAGGGTTTATACCCATCGAATAACTCTGTCTCACTGGTGTATGAACGTTGTATAGAGTTTATACCCATCGAATAACTCTGTCTCATTGGTGTATAAACGTTGTACAGAGTTTATACCCATCGAATAA